TTTAAATGAAGTCTTGCTTCCTGAGCAGCCACATGACTGGCTCTCAATCCTCCTGGTTTCCACTTTCCATGATAGCTATGATGAGGAGCCTAGCTTCTTTGCATTCAGATGGCATCTTATAGGTTTTTCTGTTTATGTTGGCCTGGAACCATGAGCCTCCCAATCTCAGCTTCCCATGTAGCTTGGATAACAGGTATGTGCCATTATACCCAGCTTTTGTTTGAAAAGAAGTCCTGAGGACTTTTCTGACCAGACTAGCCCCAAAGCAAAATTCTCCCAATCTTAGCCTCTTAAGTAATTTGGATTACAGCTGTGAACCACTAGCACTCAACTGAAAAATGACATTTTTTTTAATCTGTGAAAGTTGACTATAATCAGACTAAAGATATTAATAGTCAAATGACATGTCTGTTAGCTGGCTGTTTTCAGCTCCAATACCAAAGGAAGTCATGCCATGCACCAGTGGATCAACCTTGTAATCTAAGCTATGTGGGAGGCTGTGATTGTTAGGCCAGACTTGGCAGAAAAGTTCATGAGATACTTTCTCAATAAAGAGCTGACCATAATGGTGCATTACTGTCAACTTAGCTACTGGGATACCTAATGTTTGTTAGTGGATTGAGCCTGGGGATAGAGGCATGGCTCAGTGGTTGGACTACCTGCTTACCAAGCGCAAAGTCCACAGTCAAAACACCTATGCCCTCCACAAAAAGGCTGATAGAAATACACATTAGCACATAGTAAAGAGTAAATACCAAAACTGAATAATGAATGAAATTTCTTTAGCATGAATGTACTTGATGAATAAAAGCTATGATACACAATTTCAATATCCTAGTCATATCAGCTCAAAATTATTAGCATCAAGAGCATATGGTCTCTTTACTCTTTATTTTTAATAATAATCTTTCAGAAAGATCCAAGTTGTTGAACATCTTTAATTTTTGCTCTGTACCTAATAACTGCTCATTTTAATTTTTGCTCTCTACCTAATAACTGCTCATTTTCCTTTAGTTCTAGGATGCGTATCATCATTGCTTCTCTGATACTAATAGTACACATAAGAATGACATTTGGTCAAATGTTTGACCAATGCTTCCTATAATAATGGACAAATGGCCTAAGTAACAGATAGGGAAAAGAAGATTATTGGCAGACACCCACCTATAGTTCTTCTGGGATTTGTTCTCTGGCATTGACACTTGGTTTGTCGTTGTATATACTATATTACAATAGCAGGACCTACAGAAGAAGTATAGGAAGTTACTGATGTTGATAAATTTGACTCTATTGTGCAATGGGAGATTGTATCTGTTACATGTGCTCACTCATTTATTTGTTATCAACTCAGAATCATGATGCTACCTGTATTTTTTTTTTTTTTTTTTGTCGGTTGGGGGCTTGAACTCTGGGCCTGGGCGCTGTCCCTCAGCTCTTCAGCTCAAGGCAAGCGCTCTACCACTTGAGCTATAGCGCCACTTCCGGTTT